TTTATCGACAAACAATAATATTTTATTAAAATTGGATTATAATAAATCAAACAATAAAGTAACTTTAACTGTCAATAAAACAACTCAAAATTTTACCATGCTAAGTAGTTTTAATGCAAAAATAATTGTTTTATGGCTAACAGAAAATTTTAGTGCAAATGTTACAAAAGTTTCAATAAGTAACTACAGCTCAACATTAACTATACCAGCTGTTAATTACAATGCTAATCAACGTTGGAAGTTTTACAACTGAAGATGGAGTGTTAATAAGATTAATGTATTCTTCAAGGTATTACGACACTGACTCTACTCAATTTCATAAAGTAATGCTTCAAGAAAAGTTAAGTGGATCTTATGTAGTATAAATATAAATGAAGGATATCTTTGAATTCAATCATATAGATAGATCTCTGCCAGAAATAGAATTCAAAACTCTCAAAGACTTTTACAAACATTATCATAAAAAATACTGGTGTTACAAAAGTTGTTATAAGAGTTACAAATTTCTTGATGATGTGTTTTCAATCTCTGGAATATGCCTAGTAGCAATAGGAACTATTACTGGTGGGATTACACTAAACCCTGTTGTTCTAGGAGTTGTAAATGGCGCTGGAGTTATAGTAGCGGGAATTGGAAAGAAAAAAAATTATAGAAGAGAAATTGAAATGTCAAGAATTGCATTTACTACTTATGAAAAAGTACTAGTTGAACTTCGTGCAGCTCTTCGAGGTGATGAGTGGAATAAAGAAGATTTTGTTGATCGTATGAAGTTGATAGATGAAATGATAATTGATCAGTCTCCTATAGCAGAGAGATTTGCTAGTAGATATAGTGAAAAGTTTAATATAAAGGTTTAAAGATTAAATTACTAGCAATAAAATGGATCAATTTGAAAAATTTGAAAAACAATTAATTAGTTCTTACGAAACAGCTTTAGCTGAAGAATCTAAAGAAATAGATGAAAAAGTTAATTCTTTAATTAAAAATTATAAAGATTTAAATGTTGATGATTTGTATTATAAAATTAAAAAATTTAATTATAATGTAAGTAATTTAAAAAGTATTAAATATGATTTGGATAACATATCTGAAACAAGAAAAAATCAAAAAAAATCTTTAAAAGAATCTTAGACTTTTTACTAATAGATTAAATACTCAAATGCGTATTTAATCTGATATATATTTTTTATAACACCCCATTAACATTTGTATATGAAAAAAAGGTATACATTTTAAATTATAATTCAATCTTGATTTATCTGGTAGTTCACTAATTTCATTTATAATTTCAACATTATCATATATTTGATTAAGATTTTCTCTTTCTAAGAAAACTTTTGGTTTAAAAGTGTTTATGTAGGATTTCATTTCTGTAAACATATCATCATACGACTCTAAAAAGTCGAAATTTCTTTCATTAAGTTCACGTTTAATATCTTCTAAAACTCGCATATGTTGACTCCATTTGTCTGAGAAACTGATAAGTTTTTTTTCCTTAAGAGTTAAATATTTTTTATACGTATCAGGATTATTTTTTCTTGTATATTCTTCGAAAGAGTCTATAATATTTAATCCTTCTTTGATCAACTCTTGTTTTCTTTTATTAAGTATAGCTTCCATTTTAATTAAATAATTTCTATTCCTTAAATACTAATAATGTGTATTTAATCAAAAAGGGCTTAAAGAATAAAATACTAACTAATATATAAGCTTAATTCCAAGTTGTTGGTTAATGAATTTTTTCTCTTGCATTTTTGATATTAATATTAATATCAAAAATTAGATGTTTTTTCAATTCTATGAATTACTTTATAATGGTTATTTAGTGTTTTTCTACTACAAAATGCTTTAGGGCAATATTTACAAAGAATACGAACACCAGCCATATATTTATGTACAAGTTTGCCAATATTATCATAATCATTACTAAGTATAAATGCATAATCGTTATTACGATACTTCTCTTTCATCTTTAGTTGAGATTCTGTTATATAATAATTGTTAGTTGGTGATTTGAATTCGATACACAGACCTTTATATTCTTTGTGAAAATCTAGAATCATTAAATCTGGTTGTCCACGTGTATATCCTTTTTTGTACGAATCTATTCTTTTTTCCTCTGTATCTTGATTCTCTCCCAGTCCAGCTACTAATATTGAATCTGGATAATAATTTCTAATTATTTGAACAACTTTTTAATGAAGATCTGTCTCATTTTCTATTTTGAACATTTTGTTATTCGGGTTGTCAAACAATTTGTAATAACCATATTTTCTTATCGAAGGTAGGACTTGTGAGGTAATCCAATGTTTGAACTTTTTAGCTGTTTCTAATTTAGAGGATAACAAAAGTGAGTAGAAGCCTGATTCATTTATGAAAGTACACCATCTAACCTGACCCGTCGTTTTGACGGGGCAGCTTTTTTGGTCTTCGTCATCAACATTTTTTCTAATTGCTTGATTAGTGTCTTTATATCCAAGTAACTGAGCAACATCTTTTCCACAAAACCAGACATTTTGCTGTTTGTCAATATAAGATTTTAACTCAATTCCTAAATCTTCATTTTTAAAACTTTTCTCCAACATGTTTGTCATTTATATTATAATAATATTCTTTAAACCGTAATTAATTTTCTATTTAAATAAATAGAAAATAAATAAAGACTTAAAAATTAAATATTTTATATAAAATGGAAAAAAGATTAGTTTATGTTATTCTTTTTCCTGATAAAAGAGTATTTATTGGTCAAACTTATAAATCAATAGAGGAAAAAATAGAATATCAAAAACAAGATTTGAACGATAGAGTATATCCTTTATTTAAAGAATGTCCAAATCCACAAATTCTATTTGAATATAAATATTTTGACTCTTTTAAAGATGTTATTGAAGAAGAAAGAAAGTTAATTAAAAAATATGATAACGATGGCTATAAAATATATAATAGAACTTTTTTTTTTAGAAGTAGAATGATAAATAATTCTTAGAGATTAAATACTTGATAAGTATTTAATCAAATATAATTATAATCCTTTAATTATTTTTTCTATTTAAATTAAATAAAAAATTTTATTATAAGTAATAATATAAAGTGCTAAACACAATTGTTAATTATGTTAACTATTACTATCCTTTACATAATCATCTTCCCTATCCTGAAAATCTTATAAAAACATCACTCATTTATAGATATTTATACGAAGTTTATTTTAAAGAAAATATAAATATAGAAAAAATAATTTATAGAATAGAAGATAGATCTATTAAATCTAATAATCCTATTCTAAATAATCATCTAATGTTTTACAGAGCTTTTAAATCTTTTCACAAACATTACAAAATTGGAAGAGGAT